TAAAAGCAACGATGATTTTTTTTTACAATCGATAAAAAGAAATTTTCCACTTACGAAATACGCACGGTGCTCGAAAACACTTCCATCCACGTCGAGTTTCGTTCCGTGTCTGGCGTCGTTCCGTGTCGAAATCGATATATAAACAAACGAAATTCCACTACACGGTTTGTATAATATAAACAGAATCACGCACACGTCGAACGTAGCGTCGGATAATCCGCTCGAGGCTTCGTGCTTCGTAGAATCGCGCGAAAACTATTAAACACCGTCTCGTCCCGACGCCAAGAATAAACCAAACTCCTCCCCACCAACGCCACCTTCTACAGTTCTTTACATTTCCGTCTTTCTCGTCGGAGGATCGACCTTCTGAAAATCTCCACCGCCACATTTCCTCTCTCCCTCGCTTTTTTTAAATAATTTTTTAGAAAAAAAAAAAAAATGAGTTTTTTATTTTAAATGAATTTTACTTTTTTTACTCGAATATAGATATATATCGGAAGATAGATAGATTCGATTATTTGGAGATAGATAGATAGATTCCTCTCTCCCTCGCTTTTTTAAATAATTTTTTAGAAAAAAAAAAAACGAGTTTTTTTTTTTGAAATGAATTTTACTTTTTACTCGATTCTCGAATATAGATATATATTGGAAGATAGATAGATTCGAGACAAATATAATGGAAAATAATCGTTCGTTTTACGAACGTGGTCGCGTGGGTGCTATTTCTTCTACGGCCGATAAAAGTTTATCGGTGGGGAACGGAGAGAGAAGCGGTTTTCTATAAATTGGGGGCAAAACTTCTCGGGCGGAAGATATTTAACGACCGATTCGTTTCTCGTATATTTCTTTAAAAAGGAGGAATCGAGGGAACAGGAAGTGCGGCGAAGAGAAGGGTAAATTGGAGAGGGAGGGGGGTAGGTTTCGATGAAGAAGATAGTGGAAATATTTGGAATTAAAATTGGTCGGGTGCGCTCACGGTTTTAATAGCCTTCGTGGTATAGTAAAGTTCTAAATTAAAGCATCAAGTGGCGGCTTCAAGGATAAACTGCACTTTGTACGGCATCCATATAGCTATCCTCCTTCTATTTTCGAGTGCATAAATTTTGATGACGGATGACCTATTTATCAATTATTAATTATTAGGTAAGAGGGGAGGAGAAATGCATGGTATATATATACCGAAAGATTTGAGATTATAAGTGAATAAATATTTGCATAGAATTATTCGCGTTTGAAATTAATAATTCAAATTTTTACGTAGAGCTTCTTATCGAAGATTAATACGAGAATTCGTTCTAAGTTCAAACGTTATTTTTAAAGTTTTCCTCTAAAAACGAGGAAACTTTCAGCCTTCGTCTTGGAACGAAAGCTGAAATTCAATTTTTATCGAATAAATTTCAGAGAAAGAAAGAAGGCAAGAAATCCTAGCAATAAAAGGAATAATAAAAAATCTGGCAGAAAAGAATTTCAATATCGAAAAAATGCAAATATATACACTAAAATTTCCTAGAAAATTTCCTAGAATCTTTAAAAAATGATCTTTAAAAAATGATAAAAAACATCTCTCGATTAACTTTGACTTTTAGCCGAGATCTAAGATGATGATAATAATAATTTAATCGAGTTCCTCTTGTCGCTCGATCATCGACCGTTATTAAGAGATTTACGCGGATTAAGGATGAAAGGCGGTGAATAAGCATAGATAAGGGATCTAGACAAGGGAGCGGGGACAAATGAAAGGGGAGCAAACGTAATGATCGGTCGCGATGCAAAAAAAAGAAAAAAAAAACACTCCTCGTTATTTTCTCGCTGTACCATTTGATTTAAGGGGCGTGCTCTTAATTCTAGATTTCCACGTTGCCATAAGGCTCGATTCCGTCTTTATTTCCTCGTCCCGGTTTCCTATTCCCATTCCGTCCAGGAATGTAAAGGAGCAAATTGTAATAAAATTTCTTCTCCTTCCTTTCGAGGAAATTCGCTCTCCTCGAAAAATTCGATCGGAATGGGATCCTTCGTGAAATTAAGTCCAAGTACGTGATCCTGCACGACGAATATCTCGATCAAAGGATAGGAATCACGTCGCATAAAAATTAATTTAAAGTTAACCTTTTCGTTCTTCGAGGGAACATCTCGGAATTTCGAAAGAATTTTCTCGAAAATTTTTTCGTTCATAAATATTTCCATCGATGAAAAGTAAATTTAAATACTTGGCGATAGATCAACCGAGATAGATAGATCTCGAAGCGAGAGCTCGTTTCGAGGAAACGTGCGAAATGGAGAAAATTTTATAATGTATTTCACATTTTCCCCTGCCAGGGAAGGGAAACAGGGAAGGACTCGGCAAGCTTTCCTACATGCCGGCACTCGTACATCTTGCAGCGCATCGGGTCGTTAAAGTCGATCGTTTGTAAAGCGAGAACAAGCTCTTGGAATCTTATTTTCCATGGCGTGGGTGCACCGTGTGGGCACTCGCGCAACACCTACTACTACTTTATTCCTCAAGGTTCACAACTTGAAGCTTCGCTCTACACTTCCTGGTATAATCGCAATTCCTTCCACCTTTCATCCTATCCCTCCCCGTTTCCACTTTGTGAAAAATAACCAGAGCGTTATGAAACACGTCATACGAAAACCGCGGATTTTTTAACGAGGAAAATTCCCATCGACTGTCTATCCGTACGAATTCATGAATTTGAACCGACCCGCGGTTTCAATTATCCGAATATGAAAGAGCCGATCGGCAGCCAGGTGCATTTATCGAATGCACGTTTCGATACGTTGCGTCAGTGACAACAGAGAGAAATGAAAAACCGTAGGCGATGCGACGCGTCAATACCAGGAAGAAAATCCGCGTCGGATTTGACGGAATATAAATGTACCCTGAAAAATGAAACCAATATACACACACATATATATATAATCGATTCGTCGATGCCATGACACGGGAGCAAACGTTTATATTCTCCCCCTTCCAAATTTTACTTTTATTTTATTTTTTGATTAACGAAACGAACCGCGATTAAATTTCATTCCTTCTTTCCTCCTCTCCATTTTTTTTTTT